TTCTGTACACTCTTTTTTTTTTTTTTTTTTTTTTTTTTTTTCAAACCGATCGTAAGTCAGCTTTCATGTGACATACAAGGCGCCGTTCCGTCCCGTCGCTTCGTCATGAGAATTCACCAAGTAACAGGAAGGACGATTTCGCTTGATTGAAAAACGAAGCGACGAAGAAGCAAGTTTAAGGAATCGCAGCAACTCTTTTAGCGAAGATGGTTAAAGGAATTTGGAATGGTCTGCTAAAGTATCATCCCCAAAACGTTTTTGCGTTCAGATTTCCTGATTTATCCGTAATTCGCGAAGAGCAGCCAGAAGGGTGACGCGGGGCAAGAAGGGCCGAAAATTGGATCGGATAGATTCCTTTGAGAACTCGGGATTCAACTTCAAGGCCACATAGAGCGCCGGCCTGAGGCCTAAAAAAACGTAACGGCCGTTCCTTCACAATATAACGTCCTTTCCGTTCGAGAGGACTCGGACGAAATCATCCCTCTTCCCTTAACGATTATCCATTACTCCTTATTGAGTTCCAGGTCCAGCGAACGAGAACTGGATCCAATGACCAACCACCGTATCGTCATCGCTCAACCATCGCACCGACCAGTCGCCAGAAAGAGCATGCCTGGAAACTTATTATTTTCGAAGCGGGAGTCTAGAAAAAGGTAGGGCCACTCGAGAGCACGATTGATTTTCGCAATATTTCAGCAAAACTTTGGACTTTTCCTACCGCGAAAAATGAGGAAACTTTACTTGGAGGTTTGCGCTCACGTCTCTGGCGCGTTCGTCACTACGTCTTTCTCTCACACGTGCACTAGGGAAACACTATTTATTTCTCTCTCTCTCTCCCCTTCGTCCCTCCTTCGCAGGATATACTCCAAAGAAAGAAAAGGAAATAGAGGCAGCATACACATGTACGTTTCCTGCGCGTGTGAGGACGCGTGCAAAATGTTGGGGAGAACTTCGAGTACTCTAACATTGTAAGTGAATCGTGGGTGTATCGAAACGTGCGTTAATTGACATAAACTTAGAATTTAGAATTAGACAGGCGTGTACAGCCAGTGCTTGGGTAAATTTATAGTTATATCTCGATGTAGGTGTAAAGCAAAACAGAAGTAATGCTGGGGTTGGAATCCAAACAGTCTGACCGATCAAGCCGTGGATTACTCGTAATTCCTTTTATTGGCTAGGTGCGCCTGGAAGTTTCCCCCAAAAAAATAAACCTTTAAAGAAAAAGTGATGGAAAGGGGGAGGACAACACCAGAAGAAAAGAAAAATACTAAGAACTTTCATTCCTCGAAAGAGACTCTCCTGTGCTACCTCTGTTTCTTTTCCCTTGTCTTTCTGCTTTCTTTTTGTATTTTCGTTCGATTAGTTCTTTGCGACTGACGAAAGTCACACGCGATTCTTCTATCTACTATACTACTTTTGGTACGGTCAACGTATCGCAACTATACCCTTGATGTGCATTCCGTAAGCCAAAGAGAGAAGGAACGAGATATGAGAGAGCGAGAGAGAAAGAGAGAGAGAGAGAGAGAGAGAGAGAGAGAGAATTATCGGATATTTGTGGCTTTAACTATAGGTTCCGTTACCGCAATCGTGTTGAACAATCGTCTTCTAACAAAGTGATGGAATTAATCAATGGAACAGGCATAGATTGCTAATTAACAGGAGATATACATATTTAGGTTTTTTTTTTGATAATCAAAATGTTGAAAACAATAGAACTAAACAAAGTAAGCCCTAAAATACATTACTATTGCATAATGAAATCGTGCGCGTGCAGTACGCAGGAACATAAGAGCCGCAAAATATTATTGAAGGCAGGTTAGAAAAGGACTACTTGAGAGATTATTAAGCCAACTAATTAGTTGTCGGCTGGCCGAGTACTGGCGGGAACTGCCGAAAGGGGAGGAAGTACACCGAACACTATTCACTGCCTACAACAAGAAGCCTGTTCATAATATTTTTCAATAGAAAGTGAAATGGAGCGTGGGGAAAATAAGAAATGCTCAGATAATAAAATGGGAAGAAAATAATAAAGAAGACAAGCAGCTATTCTGCCTCTGAAGGAGAAGTATGGGTAAGCACATGTCTGTATAGATGGCCTGATATATATTAGCTTGTATACGTGCGTATACATAGCAGCTAGATGTATATTGGGAAGGCAGGCGGCAGGCGCCAGGCGCCGCTAGTATTTCTGGAGTTTAGCATGTAAGGCACGTGTTCGCATCTGCCTTTATGAGCGTTCCCTGCGATTCTCCATTTCGTCCTCATTCTCAGGCAGCCGAGCAACCGGGCAACCGGGCAACCGGGCAAACATGCAGCCGCCATCCTCTGCCTCTTCCGCGAGAGGAGGGCTGGATGGGCCGAAAGGACTGAAAGGACCTGGTCAGATCCCCGACCCGCTCGGACGCTCCGGTTCTCGTGTTGTCAACCAAAAATTCCGCTTTACTCGGACGGCCCCTGCAGGCTGCCCGGAGGATTAAGGACGCTTCGGATCATATTAAGGACGGGATCAGGGATATCAGGGATATCTGGGCTTTCTTATCTGCGATCGAACGTTCTCATAACCCTACAGACTGTGCCGAATAAGGATCGAGCTTGACTCCTGCTGGACTTGTGTAACACGAAAACCACTTCCCTTTCAAAACAATTCAAGTCTATTACGCACGCACGTGCGCTTCCCTTTCAGTCTACATTCTACGAAGACGAGAAGCAGGAACTCTGAGCTTTGGAATCCTTGAACCCTCGTGAGCAACAGTACGATGAACTGATGAACTGATGAACTGATGAACTGATGAACTGTGCAATATGAGCATGCAAAGACGTCTTGACACTCAGAGTATTTGTTGTCTGCCGGTAAATGTAGTAGCTGACGCTTCTAGGTATCAAGCTGCTAGCGTGAACTTCAATCTTTACCGAATAGAAACTCAGCTAAATTATAAGTCTCGTTACTTTGCACTCTGCGAGGTGCAACCTTCTTCCGTTCGCAGGGTGAGCCACGGCCGAGAGAGAGACACAAATCGAGGTAGGCAGCCTCGAATTTTGTTTTTCCTAAGACTCCTAGTTGACTGGAGTCTTGACTCACAGGAGATGGCCAAGAGGTAACTGGAGACGAGAGACGAGAGAGAGAGAGAGAGAGAGAGAGAGAGAGAGAGAGAGAGAGAGAGAGAGAGACTTCGCCACGACCCCTTGCAAAATTGCGAGTACACTGCTACACTCGTTAAACTCAAACAAAAACTTTTTCTCGGAGCGGCGAACTTGCTCGAGCTTTAATTTACGTCGTTCGAGCCAATATATCTCAGAAGCCGGTCTGGCAAGTCTCATAGTTTCACAGCTTACGAGATTCTCGTGAACCGCGAGTCTCGTAATAATTCGTGTCACGAAGTACCCTCTAATCCATTGCTTTTTCCCTTGTCCTATATTCTCTTCTTTTTTTTTTTCTAACTTTAGTACAATTTTTTTAATTTATCGACGCATCTCGAAGAGTTTTGAAAACTTTCCGTGACGAAGAGAATTCGAAATACTGATGAAATAGAAATAAAGATTAAGGAAAATAAGCAAAGAGGCTCGAAAGGTTAGAACTTTGAGGAGAATGAAAGGGCGCCTCCTGGGACATAACACCAATCGCAGCGACAGCCCAGCTTTGCTGTCCGGCCGAATCCTTTTTAGTACCACCGTAAGATCTAAATACCTACTGTAAATCTAGCATCAGGAGTAGAGAGAATATTTTACCAGAGAAAATAACGATTGTCTGTTCTACACTGTTTCTTAAATTATTAAATCCGTAGGCAAAGGCACAGCGCCGGAATCTTGAGTGTCGCGTTTTCGAGTCTGTAACGAGATGGGCGATG